TTGACAACTGGTAGTCGTTATCATCCATAATAACATACTAAAATTTGAATCATTTGCAAAGGATAGAAAAAGAATTATAACAATTATTTATTTATTTTCAAATTTGGAACGTCCAAAAGTAAGGGACAAAATTGAGAAAAACAATGAAAACGGCAAAAAAAAAAAAACAATAAAAATACATGTACAATCAATATTTAGTAAATGAGCCCTTGCTCTCAATGACAGCTGCACATCTTCGACTACAAGAACGAATCAGTTCTTGACAATCCTCGATACTAATTTTAGACCATTCTTCTTGAAGCTTCACCCACAAATCCTCCGTGTTAGTGGGATTTATTTCCATAACTTTCATTCCTAAGGTCTTCCAAAGATTTTCTATTGGATTTAAGTCAGGACTTTGCGGTGGCCAATCCATAATTTCCAAATCTTGCTCGCTAAGGTAACTCATTACCACCTTTGCCTTGTGACATGGGGCATTATCTTGCATAAAGGTAGCCCTATCGAAACCTGAATTCTGTATGATTGGCACAACATGATCTTGAACAATGTTTTTATAGATCTGCGCGTTTACACGTGTTTTTAACCGGACAAGAGGCGTTGTACCTTGACTAGAAAACATTCCAAATACCATGACGCTTCCGCCCCCAAACTTGACAGTTTTCTTAGTACACTTTGCACTTAATCTTTCACCAATACGTCTCTTTACATTGTTTTTTTTTTCCATCATTTCCAAATAAATTAAACTTGCTTTCATCACTGAAAAATACTTTTGCCCAATTTTCATATGTCCAAATTACATACCTGTTTGCAAACTCTAATCTCTTCTTCTTATTCTTCGAACTAACAAGTGGTTTCTTCCCTGGGGTTCGATTAAACAGCCCTATTTCTTGCAGTCGTCTACAAACAGTCTGGCTTGACACATTAACACATGAGGTACTATTCATAACCCTTTTAATTTCTGTGCAAGACTTAAAACGGTCCTTTAATGACATACGCTGCATTATTCGATCTTCTCTTGCCGAAGTTTTGCGGGGTCTGCCGGTTTTAAAAGCACTAACTATTTTGCCAGTATCATTGTAGGATTTAACAACCCTGCCTACAACACTTTTGGAACGTTTCACTTTCTCTGAAATCTCTCTAATGGTGTGCGTTTCCTTGTGTAGCTTCACAATAGCTTGTCTCACAGAGTAATCAAGTTTTTGGCGTTTCGACATGATGCCGGCTGATGCAACGTTTACAAATGACTAAGTAAGACTTATTCTTTAGAGGAAATCAAAAAATTTGACTATAGCATACTGTTTACATTGTTTTTCTCAATTTTGTCCCTTACTTTTGGACGATCCTATTTTGAAAATAAATAAATAATTGTTATAATTCTTTTTCTATCCTTTGCAAATGATTCAAATTTTAGTATGTTATTATGGATGATAACGACTACCAGTTGTCAAAATTTCAGCTTTTCATAGTTGTTATTTCTAACAAATAATAGGTTTTAAAATTTTGTCCCTTAGTTTTGGACGCTACTGTATATATATATATATATATATATATATATATATATATATATATATATATATATATATATATAAACCAGTTTTTGATCAGACTTGTATAAGACCAGGAAACAGTTGTATTAAATAGTGCTCAATACACGAATAAAGAAAAATAAAAGAAACATGCAGACCTTTTAAACTCAAAATTTAAAAAATAAAAATAAAATTAAATTGTGATTTTAAAAATTAGGAGATTAGCCAATCACGCTACCATGGTTTCAACATTTCGATATCCTCAGGCGACAATAACCAAATGTTTTCCTAACGCTTAATTATTTATATATAAAGCCATAGCTTGATTGGTTGATTTCCTAAATTCTTAATTTTAAATATATGTTTTTTAATATTTTGAATTTAATAAAACATTTTGCTCTTCGCCTTGAAAAAGTTGGATTGACGAATCGCATCAGCAATGGCTAAGAAATATTTTCCAATTGTCTTCTTTTTATCCAAATTGTCTTAGCAGAATTATACTGAGTAGCGAAAATCACACCGCATCTCATGACGTCAGACATGACCCCACGAGAGTGAATTGGAGAAGTATGGGAAGCCGTTGGTATAAACCAATGGCTTCTGTTACCAATTATAGACATTTAAGAATATTTGTAGAGATGCGGTTCGATTTTCGCTTCTAGCGTCTTATATGCACGTGTTTATTGTTGCTTAGAAATCATCTATGTAAACAATGACAGACTATCATCACTGTCTTGTCCGTATATTGCTTAATATGTTGTAATTGACATCTTTGATAACGGCTTATGTAAGCCGAAAGCTTAGATTGTATTAAAAAAAATATGGACCAATATTGTGAATTTCTTTCTTCGTTCAACAATAATGTTATTAAACTTATCAGACGTTACGAAAAAGATTTACATAAAATAAATAGACAACACTTGTCTATATTATTTAATGAAACGTGTATGAATGAAAAGATGCTGCCTAAATACACACAATATATATATATATATATATATATATATATATATATATATATATATATATGAATTGCAGCAGGAAAACTCATAATT